TTTCTTTCTTTCTTCCTTTCTTGGTGGAGTTTCACTCTGTAGCCCAGGCTGGAGTGCAGTGGCTCATTCTCAGCTCGCTGCAACCTCCACCTCTCAGCTTCAAGTGATTCTCCTGCCTCAGCCTCCCAAGTAGCTGGGACTATAGGCATCCGCCACCACACCCAGTTAATTTTTGTATTTTTAGTAGAGGCAGGGTTTCACCATGTTGGCCAAGCTGGTCTTGAACTCCTGACCTCAGGTGATCCATCTGCCTCGGCCTCCCAAAGTGCTGGGATTATGCAGTGAGCCACTGCACCTGGCCCAATTTATTATTTATTGAAAACTGACCATAACAAATTTATTGTGCTGTCCATAGTGAGAAGAAAGACATACTATACTTCATTTCCACTCTCTAAATGCTTTCTTTTCATTAAAAATACCTTACAAATATAACTTAATATAAAATGAGGAACATGGTAAATAGCACCTGAAATTTTCTGGCAAGTACATGTTTAGTCCATGAGAAAGCATTCTGCTATAAGGCAGTATCATCTGGCTTCCCTTATCATGATTAATCTGAAATAGATCTTTCAGCAAACATACATTGTGGAACATAGTCAATACTTGGGTTTGGTGAATGATGTGGCTCCCAGTTGCTGAAGCCTATGACCTAGAAATCTATTTTGTCTTATCACATTATACACACATACTGAATCTAGGGCATCTATCATGAAGTCTTATCAATTCTCTTTCCCTCCACTTGTCTTCATCCTCACAGTCGGTACCCTAATCTAAGTCTCTCACCCGTTTAGCGCAATGACATCAAAACTAGCTTTATCTCCCTGTATCTTTTCCATGCTGCATCTAAGCTGATGTTTCTATAATGTAAATATGACGTTATATTCCCGCTTGAATCTTTCAAAGCTACTAACATTGTTGGATTTAAATTAACTCTTGAAATGGCTACTAGGTAGGGTAATCATATGATCGTTTGTCTCAGACAGATCTATTTTATGTGTGCTGTTGTGACATAACATTATTAATATTTCCCACATTTTGTTCTTAGAAATGTTTCAGTTTTTATAAAATACATGGTCACTGTAATTGTAAATAACTTCAAGATTGGACCGCTGTTTCACTTACAGCCATTTCTCACATTGCTCTATTTTATTCAGCAAACCCTACTCAACTTCTTTCAGTGATAAAATGTGGAGACTCCGATTTTCTTTGCCTAATCAGGGCAGCCAACTAATTTCTTCAAAACATCCTCGGACTTCAATCATCATTATTGCCATCTCATCACAATCTGTTCACTGGTTCTTTAGCACAGAATTTATAAAAATTTATCTTTTTATTATTGGGCAATACACTCAGGTGTTTTGATTATGATATTACAGAATACGGAATCTTAGAGGTCATAAAATACCCAAGATTACAGACCTAATAAAGTCACAAATACTGATTAATAGACAACCTTGGTATTTCTAATCCAGTGTCCTTTATATTTCTGTAGTGGTTGTAATTGTTGCAGATGTAACAACATTAGCAGGAGCAGCCACAGCAGTAGTGATGGCAAGAGTAGAGGCAGTTGAAGTCTAAGTGTACACCATGCAATACTTCACAGTCATAAAAAAGAATGAAATCATGTCCTTTGCAGCAACATGGATGCATCTGGAATCCATTATCCTAAGCAAATTGATGCAGAAGCAGAAAACCAAACACCACGTATTCTCGCTTATAAAAGGTGGATCAAAACCAGCCTGACCAAGGTGGTGAAACTCCATCTCAATTAAAAATACAAAAAATTAGCCGGACATGGTGGTGGGCACATGTAGTCCCAGCTACTTTGGAAGGCTGAGGCAGAGAATGGCTTGAATCCAGGGGGCAGAATTTGCAATGAGCCCAGATCGCACCACTGCACTCCATCCTGGGCAAAAGAGTGAGACTCCATCTCAAAAAAAAAAGAGCTAAACTTTGGGTACACAGAACACAAAGATGGCAACAACTAACACTGGACATGCCAAAAAGAGGGAGGAAGGGAGGAGACAACAGGTTAAAAAAACTGCTTATTGGGTACTAAGCTCAGTACTTCAGCAATAGGATCATTAGAAGCCTAAACCTCAGCATCATGAAATATACTCATGTCACAAACCTGCACTTCAATCTAAAATTTTAAAAAGTAAAATTAAGAAAAACCATTTTATTCCATATTGTGTTAAATAATAGATACAGTCCACATTTAAAGTATGATGTTTCTATTGTTTGCAAGTAGAATTACTTATCTGCAATTGCTAAGTGGCTTTTTAAAAAATATACATTTTATTGCATTTTAGGTTTTGAGGTACATGTGAAGAACATGCAACATTGTTGCATAGGCACATACATGGCAATGTGGTTTGCTGCCTCCCTCCCCATCACCTATATCTGGCATTTCTCCCCATGTTATTCCTCCCCAACTCCCCAACCCCCATTGTCCCTCCCCTAGTTTCTCCCCTCAGACCCCAATGTGTGATGGTCCCCTCCCTGTGTTAATGTGTTCTCATTGTTCAACACCCACCTATGAGTGAGAACATGCGGTGTTTGATTTTCTGTGTCAGTTTGCTGAAAATAAGTGGCTTTTTTTTTAAATGACTAGAGTTTCATTTACACTAATGTGTAAAAATAAATTTTATGCGTTTATTTTTTAAAAGCATTTCATTTTTTTCTTCCTCTTCATTAGTCTTTAAGTAGCAAATTCTCATTATAAACTATGCAAACCATGTTTCTCCCTCTCTCTAAATAAATAAAGAAAGGTGTAAGTGTAACCATGATGGCAGAGATGGTGGCTAAAATGATCTTGATGGTAACGTTTTAGGCATTTTGTTAAGGCTTTGCGTATATGATTTTATTTAATAAAAATACTATGAGGTTGACTTGACTTAGTAAAATTTTATACATTAAGAGTCTGTCAGTTTGGTAGTATGGAGCAGAAATGCAAACCTGTATCATTTTAAATACCTGCATTCTTTAAAAACAAAATTTTTTAAATATTTATTTTAGATTTGGGGGTAACATAAAGGTTTGTTACATAGGTAAACATGTGTCACAGGGGTTTGTTTTTGTTCATTTGTTTTGTTTGTTTGAGATGGAGTTTCAATCTTGTTGCCCAGACTGTAGCACAATGGTGTGATCTTGGCTCACCGCAACCTCCGCCTCCCGGGTTTAAGCGATTCTCCTGCCTCAGCCTCCCAAGTAGCTGGGACTACAGGTGTGCCTCATCATGCCTGGCTAATTTGGTATTTTTAGCAGAGACAGGGTTTTTCCCCATGTTGGTCAGGCTGGTCTCAAACTCCCGACCTCAGGTGATCAGACTGTCTCAGCCTCCCAAAGTGCTGGGATTACAGGCATGAGCCACTGCACTGGCCAGGGGTTTGTTTTACATATTATTTCATCACCCAGCTTTTATGCCCAGTACACAGTAGTTATCTTTTCAGCTCCTCTGTGTCTTCCCAGCCACCTCGCTCAAGTAGACTCCAGTGTTTGTTGTTTCCTTGTTTGTGTTCCTAAGTTCTTACCATTTAGCTCCCACTTATAAGTGAGAACATGCAGTATTTGGTTTTCTGTACCTACGTTAGTTTGCTAAGGATAATAGCCTCAAGCTGCATCCGTGTTCCTACAAAAGACATAGTCTCATTCTTTCTTACAGCTGCATAGCATTCCATGGTTTTATGTATCACATTTTCTTCAATTTGTCATTGATGGAAATTTAGGATGGTTCTATGTCTTTGCTGTTGAGAATAGTGCTGCAGTGAACAATTGTGTACATGTGTCTTTATATTACCTAATTCTTAACCTGTGCTGTGTGTTATTCTAATAAAGGAGTTACTAAAGAATTCCCTGCTAGTAAGCACAAGTAATATGCTTTTGGGAAAAATGATATGTTTAAAACAGGGAAAGCATTCAATTTCTCAGAGAGTCTTTTATTTGCTTGACTCATTGAGAGACTGTCCACATTTACAGTGGAAGCAAACTGCCCTCCTAGACAGTCAAGATATAGATTAAATATTCAGTTTACTACTGGGACAGAATTTTGCATTTCTCATATAAGGATATGCATATCTTATGAAACTGAGTGAGTCAACGAAAAGTATTGATTCCTCCCTACGTGCCTTTCTACAAAGACAGATGGTAAGAGGTAAATTGGTAAATTTTTCTGTGGTTATACTTACTTCTAAAGTCACGAACTGTAAAATTTGGCTTGATGGTAGCCTCAGGTGCTAATCTAAAGGAGAAGTGCTGTCCAGTAGGTGAAAGATCTCGGTCTGCAGCACTGACTATCTGAATTATCTGAAACAGAGTTCAGATTAAGCTTGAAGTCAGTCATCAGTTTCAAAGAGGCCTTTACACACCAGGCTACTAAATTTATTTAACGAAGCATGCAAGTAGACAGAAATGACACTTTTTGAATCAATGCCAGCTGGTCAATAATTTACACATAATTTTTATATGCAAATTTCTAACATTTACAGGGAATAATGACAAGTACAATGACAGAACATGGGCTAATTTCAAATTGATACCTGTGTAACTACAAAGGTTACCAGCATTAAAAATGCACACTAATAAGGAAAGTAAAATTAAAATGCACTTGCTTGCATTTTAAATTAGATAAAATAAATGTTTTCTGGCCTGAATATGAAAAGGCTTACCGAAAACAAAATCTCTGATTATCTAAAAGTCCTTGTGATAGCAAAATTTTCATATGCATTATGTTTTATAACAATGGTTCTATTTTCATCAATAAATAAAATGATGAAAAAGAGAGATACAAAAGGTGCATACCTGCTTTTGTTTTGTTTTTCTTCCTTCAGTAGGAATATAAATTGTGTTTTCAAAGAGTCTTTAAAAAAGTAAGCACTATCGTTCCTGTTACAAAATTTTTCCAAAATTACTCCCATAGATTGTATATCTTACAGTTAAAAGCCTGGTACTTAAATAAAATGCCCTTAACTACTTAGAGAATAAAAACAACTTCTAAGACTCAAACTGTGAAATTTACAATTCATTAAATAGATAAGCAAATAAGAATGGCTTTGAGGCATTTATTTATTGACATATCCAATGACCGTGCATCAGACAGAATTTTGGGAAATGTATGTGAGAGATGACAAGGGCAGTGCGTTGAGCACATAATCATGATCTCAGACTACATTTGAATATGCAAGAGGAAGACTCTAGATTTCACACACTATTTCCTGGTCCCACTGTGTAAAGCATGCATCCTGTGATCTTACATTGATGCTATTAAACATGAGACTCAGTTAAAACTCAGTCCTATGACTATGATCTACATTCCTGTTTATCTGCACACACACACAGTTAGATAGATGTGAGATATGTAGGTAGGTAAATGGATGGATGGATGGATGGATGGATAGATAGATATCACTGGGACCTCGAATATCCAGTGCAGTGTTAGTAATTTATAGCTTAACAGATTAATTGGTCTTCTATGAATTTTGATTTCTTGTCTGAGCACAAATTAGTCACCCAGACTCTATTTACACTTTAAAATTATCATGGGGCAGAATTTCGTTATTCAGCACCAAAGTCTAAATCGTGGAATGTGGCAACTTAATCAATGAATCACCATATAGACCCTATGAAACCAACTTTCCCTCACTTAGGCCCTTGCTTGCACATCTCTCTATTTCATCTATAAGATTTCTGAATATTATTCAGTGATTAATACGTGGCTATCAAATTTTTCCTTCTCTTGCTTCTATTATCAAGTAGCACCATTTACTAAATTAAATGTATAACATCATAATCTGGCACTTATCTGGAAGTATCAGTTGGGGGTCCTTGCCCTGAGGAAAACAACTCCCATATAAATCTTTACTGATTTACATAGCAACCTCTTTCCCCCTTTTCTTATTTTTTTAAATTAAATAGATGATACATAGATGATAGATAGTCAGATAATAGATACTATCATAATCTAGGAGAGACAGATAGTTCCTCTGCATAATTCTTAGGCTGGGGCAGAATGGCAGGACTCAAAAGCAGAAAGTACTCATATTTTACAATCCCTGAAACTCAATGGACATTTCAGGGTTATGCTTTGTACAAAAGTGTGGCTCAATTGGACACAAAAATCCCCAGAAACATACTTCAGAATAAGAGCTTCTAAGAATCTAAGATATTCCTCAAAGTTTTCTTTAGATATGAAAACAGAAGATTGAATTCTAATTTTCTATTCTCAGCTCATCAAATCCTTTAATTTATTGGAAAAACATGCAACATTAAATGGAGCTCTTTTCCCAAAGGCTTCCATTGGGAGCATTACAAATGGAATTCTAATTGATCTGAAAGCATTAATATCCTTAATCCCCTAATGCTAAAGAACTGGCTTTTTTTTTTTTTTTTCTCTGTTTAGTGAGGCATTCTGAAAGTGGAAAATAGCTAACTTGAAGAATTTCGGTAAACTTCTTCAAATTCCAAGAACAACCAAATCAGGTTATTTATTTGAGCCCAAATGTTTTTGTAGCACCTATGATTGCTGAAGATAATGAAAGCTGTAGGCTCACCCCATATAAATTGTAGATGCACTTAAGATGATTTTTAAGTGATTTCTGTGCTGATACAAGATTAAGATGCAGATTTCTTGCTTGAGGAAATATCACAAAATAAGTTATGATGTAAGAAAATTAACGATTTCCCCAAATTATCAAATGAAAGAGGAGAGCAGCATTGTATGAATGAGAATATAGTTTTTAGTTTTAGGTAATTTTAATTTTATTTAAATAGCCATACAACCAGTAGACATCACAGGTTTAGAACTACAGGACAAAGGTTCTACCAAGTGATGTAAAACATGGAAATTGAAAATGATACTAAAGGTTAAAGAATGACTTTTTACAGCAAAAATACTGTATTAAATATCAAGATTTATTTCAAGTAAGAATTGAAACTCTTCAAATCTACTTAAGTGAATAGTGATGCTATTTAAAGGTGATCAAAAAATACAGCAAACCAAAGCATACCAATGTATTTTCCCTTTGGAATGTAGGTACACGATATTAGATTAATCATATTTTTGTTTCATTACATACTCTTTTCATATACCCATGCCTGATTCCCTTTATATTCTTCCTTTATTCATTCATAAGACTTTAGGGAGTAAAAAGAAAAAAAAAATGGCTACCTACCACCATCTAAAGTAGAACTTTTCACAATTAGTTTCATTAACTTTGTGGTCTTCTTTCCTCATAAGATCTTCCCACTACTACATCTTCACAGAATAATATTAACTTCATAAGAAAAATGAAAGTTGGACATTTAAAATAACCTAGTTGTTCTCCTCTAGGCCACCAGAGAGGAAAGCTTTGCATTTTCAGGTTACATTAAAAGCTTTGTTATGCAACTTATAGAAGCAAATGAGTAAAATAAGAAATATACTGGGAAAATGCACTCTACAGTGACTTGCTTACTGAGTTTACAGTCACAAGTTCTTTAGAAATTTGTGGGTGGATCACTTGAGGTCAGGACTTCAAACCCAGCCTGGCCAACGTGATGACAACCCATCTCTACTAAAAATACAAAAACTTAGCTGGGCCTGGTTGTGCATGCCTATAATCCCAGCTACTTGGGAGGCTGAGACAGGGGAATCACTTGAACATGGGTGGTGGAGGTTGCAGAGAGCCAAGATTGTGCCATTGCACT